CTCTCATGTTTCTTTTCCCAACCAAATAAAATTTGTTATGTTTGGAAAACCCACATATTTGAAATTGTAATGTTATGAGAAAGAATTACTTTGGAATTTCACATAGGATGACTTCTTGAAAGATAACTCAGTATTATGCAACAAAAGCCTAGAAACTTCACTTTAAAAAATTTATCCAGCGCACGGCGCAGTGGCCCAGTGGCTAAAGTCCTCTCCTTGAACGCGCCAGGATCCCATACGGGGACCCATACGGGCACCCAGCAGCTCCACTTCCCATCCAGCTCCCTGCTTGTGGCCTGGGAAAGCAGTCGAGGATGGCCCAAAGCTTTGGGTTCCTGCACCCATGTGGGAGACATGGAGGAGGTTCCTGGCTCCTGGCTTTGGATCAGCAGAGCACCGGCCATTGCGCTCACTTGGGGAGTGAATCATCGGAAGAAAAATCTTCCTCTTTGTCTTTCCTCCTCTCTGTATATCTGACTTTATAATAAAAATAAATAAATCTTTTAAAAAAATTATCCAAAAGAAATAGTTGCTCAAGTTTACAAAGATGAGTGTACAGAAATGTTTGTTTCTAAACATAAAACAATTAAAATCTACCTTGCTCTCTAGTAGTTAGCTAAATTATGGTATAAAATTATAGTTCCATATTTATTGACATATATGTACATTAACAATTATTATTGAATTGCTAATAATTTTAGAAGAATATGTTTATACAAGTAAAATTTTATTAAATTAATTGCATAGGTGTCATTTATACATATATGTGCACATAGAAAAAGCCAAAAATGTACACACACAAAAATGTTACTAAAAGAAATTCTTGATATACATACATTTTATTATGTATAATATGTTATACACATAATTCTGGCTATATACATATATATTGTTTTATTTATCTTTGTTTTCTAGTATGAAACTCTAATCCTGTGTGAACAAATCATGGGAGTTTAAAAACAAAATAATCCAAGATACTTTAACTGGCTTCTTACACAATCTTATCACTAGGGACTAGAAATATTCATTTTTACAAAAAGGTATTTGTCCCAGAGTATTTGAAAGCAACTAATCCTTCTTGCTATAGTAGTTCACAGTGAAGGTCAATAGTCTAAAATCTGGCACCGATTCATTTCTGAGCATTTGTATTATTATTAGATAATTGTAAAAATATGTTTTTCATTTTAGAAGTCCCTGGAAAAATAGGAACAGCCAGTAATAAGACACAAGAGATCTTGGTTTAGCCTCTGCTGTTAGCATTTTGTATGCTCTTGGAAATTTTAGCCTCCCTCTTTCCTGGCCTTGCTTTCCTCACATAAAAAGTAACTGAATCAAAAGTTCTTGATGGCATTTAGCAGCTCTAATAAACTAGGAATCTACAATGCAGTTAGAAGTCAAACTGTCAGTAGAGAGCTATATGAAAAAAATGTGGGGGCTAAGAAAAATAAAAATAACCCCCAAAATTTTACAAACACTCTTTAAAAGAGTCTGCTTCCAAATTTGCACAGGGTGTGGTTGATATTTCTCTTTCTTAGGAAGATTTTTACTTTAGTGACTTTTAAAATATATATTTTCTGTTAAATACCAAAAGCTTCTTGAACGTTGGTATGCTTGTGACACCTGGTGGTCAACTTAAAAATCACAGCTAAATTTCATCTCCGACACTCATTCCCATGCTCTCAGTGAGCCATTTTATTTCTAGATTCATTATCCATCAGGTACTCAGTTATTCACCTAACAAGATTCAGTAATATTTTAAGTTTTGTGAATCTGTGAAATGCTTGAGGCACTTTACTAAACACTTTACGGTTGAGGAAAAGAGGAGGATGAGTCAACTGAAACGTAACCATCGTAACACAACTGAATCATAAAAAGTTAAATTACAATAGCATACTAGATGTGATAAGCATATTCTCGCTAAAGAAAATGATTAAAAATATCAATTCTTGAAGCCAGTAAAGATGTCTTTCTTGAGGTCTCAAATGTCCCATATGTAAGTTAATACCAATGATTTACTGTGTCACAGGAATGCTGTGAGAGATTGTAAGTGTATACAGAGTGTTGAGCAGAGAATCTGGCCAAAAGTAGATATTCAGTGACTGTTAGTAATTTTTATAACAAAATCTCAAAGTGTTTAGGAAAAACTTTATGTTAACTGTTGTTCTGCAATTTTATTTCAGGAATGCTTCTGGTCCAATATTGAATTCTAGTATATATATGAAGATTATGAAATATATAAGTATATTTTAAATTCACACTCACTAAACATGAGGTTTTTTGTTGGTTCAGTTGATTAGCAAATGAAACCACACAAAAAATACAGTAAGGTGTCTTTATTAGAATAATTGCTTGATTCAACAAACAGTTAACTAAATCTAAAAGAAAACAAAATTAATTGAAGGTAGCTGACTGAGTGACAGGGTTATTTGAATGCAATGAGCTGTCAGTTCAGTAAATAAGATGTTTCTCAGAGCCTCACATGAGCAGTGTAAAGCCATCAAATAGGTTGTCTGACACTGTGTGGGCTATACACATACATTTTCACGTTTTTAATGGTTGTATTTAAATTTCAGTAGACATACCTCAGACACTATATTGCTTTTCAAACTCTTATTTCAAGAGTTGTTGCAAAATGTGCACTCACTTTTGCACTATATACTGCCAACTTAATATTAAGACTCATTTCTCCTTTATTTCATTAAAATATATATCAAAATAAAACTAACTCCAATTGCAAGCAATTTAAATTACAAAGGAGTGCTAAAATCCTATAGTTTTGCATCTACAATAAAATGAATACACTGTATTTCCTAAAAGCATTAAAAATTTGAGTAGTTGAACTGTTCATTTTCAAAAATAAAATAAGCTATTTTGTTACTGGCTTTGGGCCAAAAGCAATAATGTTTGGACACAAAATCAGGAACAAGACCCATGTCATATTAGGAATGCATATTTAATCTGGATAAAGAAGATTTGAGATAGAAAAGGAGTATTATCTTCAGATATTTTAAGTGATTTCTTTTATAAAGGGAGTAGACTTCATTTTATTTGGCTTTGGCAACAACTAGATTGAAATGACAGGAACAGGTTTTGACTCATAGACGGGAAAATGTTTATTAAGAAGCATTATTTAAAAAGCATAACTTTCCATATCAATAACTTTTCACCAGAGTTACCCTGGGAGTTGGATGATATTGTTTTTTGTTTTGTTTTGTTTTAAGATTCATGTATTTGTCTTGGACAGTCAGATTTACAGAGACAAGGAGAGACAAAGAAATATCTACTGATTCACTCCCCCAAGTACCCACCACAGCTGGAGCTAAGCCGATCCAAAGCCAGGAGCCAGGAGCCTCCTCCCGGTCTCCTACGCAGGTACAGGGTCCCTAAGGCCTTATGTCATCTTCAACTGCTTTCCCCGGCCATAAGCAGGGAGCTGGATGGGAACTTTGGCCACTGGGACAGGAACTGGAGCTGATGTGGAAGACATTGAAAGGCAAGGGTTTTAGCCACTAGGCTACCGGGATGGCCTGAAAGTGCTTTGTTGTTGTTGTTGATGTTGTTGTTGATTATTTGCTTATTTGCTGCTATACTTACTACCAAGGCCTTTCTATCCTTCACATACTTTGATAGCATGATCTTCTGAAAGCATGATCTTCTGAAACTGTCATGAATTTGTTAATGGACATAAATGTTTAGTTGCAGAAGCCTGGCTGTCCAGGGGTCGGGGAAGTCCCAACTCTGCTCTGTGGAGTGCAGACCTGCCCCAGGGGTGGGTGTGCTGGAGCCAGGCTCTTGGCCCACACCCCAGATTCGCCAGCCGCTGGGCACCATTGGAGCCCCTCCCTTGCCTTTCCTCCTCACTTCCAGCCCCCTCAAATTCAGCTCCAATCCCACAGGTGGAGGCTGCGCCTCGGGGCCCAGCCTGGGGACATCCACAGCACCCCAGATGGACAGTCGGTGCCGGCTAAGGTCCAATGTCTCCCCTCCAGCTCTCGGCAGGGCCTGGCTGGGGCTGAGGGCACAACACAGTCTCTTCCTAGAGTTCTTGTTGTTCAAGAGGGTGGCCGCAGTCCTGGCCTGCAGGATCCTTCTCCCTCCTGGTGCCGGGCTGGTCACCTGCGAGGCCAGGACACCTTGCGCTCTTGAGTGAGCGCTCCTGACCCTGAGGTGACAACTCCGACCTCACCAGGGCCCTGAACCAGAAAGGGCGTGTCAGGCTCCAGCCGCCAGGCTGGTCTGCACTTGGCAGATGTAGATAGCAGATCGGCTCCACGCAGCAGGCCTGGGCACCGCTGTGGCTGTTGGGGTACACTTGCCTCTCTGTTCCTCCCGTTTCCATCTCTTTTGCATGTTTCTTTTGGGAAAAAAAAAATTTCTTAACTGCCATAAAACATACCCAAGAATAATTTTGTCCTCAGTAAAAATCAAGAAGGGAGAGGTAAATATTGTCAGAGTTGTAGTGTCTTTTCGAAGCCTCTGTTCTTCCAAGCCCTCGTGACCTGTCAGTCAGGGTCCATATCCCATATCTCATTCAAAAAGGTTCTAAGACACACCTCAGAAGTCACAGAATCCAGTAAAAGACTGTAGTTGAAAATGGAGTAAGTTTTCTCTCTTCCAGGATTGATGATAGGGAATTTAATTATATTGAAAGTAGAGCTGGTGACAACTGGAAAACAGAAGTGTGAAACTACCCCAAATATTGGAATATATGTGTAGGGTTATTTGGTAGTGAAGGCATGCCAATTGATTATGACTTGTGTTACTTTCTCTTACCACTAAAGGGAACACCTGACTATGGTTATTGCCAAAATACTACTGAAAATTTCTTTCTCAGTATTGTTATCCATTTGCAGATTGCGATGATATTTTCAGCTTCCACAGGCAACATGCTTTAGTTTCATAAAAGTTCTGAATGTCTCTGTGGTACGAAACAAATATACTTGTATACTGATATATGGATTGGCATATCCTTGATCCTGTTTTTGTTCTGTTTTCTGCAGATACCATCATTCTAATGCTTTCCAGAAGGAAGGAACATAAATACTCAAGATGGGAAGTAACAGCACCAACAGCACAAGAACAAAGTGCACTGATCTTCAAATGTCCTTTCAATACTCCCTCTACGCTACCACATATATTCTTATATTTGTCCCTGGTCTTCTGGCCAACACTGCAGCCTTGTGGGTTCTGTGCCGCTTCATCAGCAAGAAAAACAAAGCCATCATTTTCATGATCAACCTCTCTGTGGCTGACCTTGCTCACGTGCTGTCCTTGCCCCTCCGGATTTACTATTACATCAGCCACCACTGGCCGTTCCAGAGAGCTGTTTGCCTGCTGTGTTTCTACCTGAAGTATCTCAACATGTATGCCAGCATTTTCTTCCTGACGTGCATCAGTCTTCAGAGGTGCTTCTTTCTGCTCAAGCCCTTCAGAGCCAGAGACTGGAAGCGTAGATACGACGTGGGCATCAGTGTGGCCATCTGGGTCGTCGTGGGGACTGCCTGCCTGCCAATTCCTATTCTGAGAAGTGCTGGTTTAGCCAACAACACAGAATTCTGCTTTGCTGATTTAGGCCTACACAATATCAGCATGGCTTCCTCAATTGGCATGGTAACTGCAGCAGAACTTGGAGGGTTTATATTGCCTGTTGTAATTATTACTTGCTGCACTTGGAAAACCAGAAAATCTTTACAAGAAGTTCAAATCCCCCCTCAGAACACCAAGGAGAGGAAAAAAGCTCTGAGGATGGTCCTGATGTGTGCAGTGGTGTTTATTGTATGCTTCACCCCATATCATCTTAACTTTCCATTCTTCATGATGGTGAAGCAAGAAGTCTTTTCGAATTGCTCCTTTATTAAGGTTACTTTATGTTTGCATATCATTTCCCTGTGTCTTGCTAATTTGAATTGCTGTCTTGATCCAATTATATACTATTTTATGACCTCGGAATTTCGTGATCAATTTTCAGAGCATGGTGGCTTAGTTCTTCAGTCATGTATAAGATGTAAGGACAGTGCTTTGGAAATTCACCAGAGGCAAGAAGATCTTCAGACCATCTCTCTCGAATGTTTGGAGGATTCTAGGACAATGTAATCACATAATTTGTTAAAGAGATCTATATACTCTGTCGATTTAGCTATGTTCCCGAGAAGACATTTTCTTTAAACATGGTATTCCTGAGTGATTTAATAAAATATGGGCTGCCTCCTTCCCTTAATCACAAAAAAATGATAATTCTGAAAGAACAATTTGTGCCTGCTTGTGAACATGGAAATGTACTGTCCTGCAGAACATGTCAGAAGATATCTTTCTTTACAAAAATAATGAGCAACAGCATGAGTTGCACACCTGTTCATCAACAAGGAGTTTGGTTTTTTCACCCTCTCTTAAGTGGAAAAAAAAAACATAAATTGAATGTGTAGTTATGGATGAATTTCCCATTGAAAATGACCTATCAGACACATATATGCCTAGCATTATTTACAAAGTGTGTATGACTTTGAACAAAACAGGTTATGGAGAAAAGAAATTTTAACATCGAGTTATGAAAATTAACAACCTTATAACTTAGAATAACAATTTTTTTTCTTTCCTCGGGTAAATAAACAATTCAGATAAAATCCAAATATGTCAAATGTTTCATGGAATTTGCACACAACACATGCTTTAAACACAAAATAGAATCCTGTTGTAACATCCCACAAGCTTAAGTCTCGGGAGTTTCAATGATGATTCTATGCTTCATGAAACTAAACTGCAGCCATGGTGTGTCTAGATTTAAATCTCTAAATACAGTTTGAGTTGCAATTGCCCTTGATTTGTGAGAATCAGTGAGTTGATGAAAAATCAAAAGCAGTTATACAGTATTTCAGTTCCTAAACACTAGTCGGATTTTGTTTCTAGTATGTGAAGATGTGTATAAGAAGACTATTGTTGAACTGAATTCTATTATGGGTAGGGAATGAAAAGAGTAGTTATTCTTGAAATCCCCGAAGTTAGATCATTTAAAAACATTAATTGCTACATTTATATGTATTCAAACTGGATTTTTATATACATATCCATTTTTCCTTAAAATAATATTTTAAAGGTAGTGATTAGTTTCACAACGGTAAAAATACTTATCTGCTTGTATATGATTGGAAATCCACAAAAAAATTTGTGGGACTTTTTTGGTAACATATTGCTTATCAGAACAACAGCAGGTAACACGTACCACATGGGAGTAAACAAGGGAAGACCTAGGTGTTTGGAATTCTGGAATGGTACTATCATTCAGACTGGTGTATTTATGTAGAAAGAATTGTTTAACTCTGTAAGTGCCTGAACATTTTTTTAAAAACACAGTGCTAGGTGCAAATGTTTCTGCATTATATTTCTTCTGCCCTCGAAAGCAATTTGTGTTAAATTTGGTGAGTGAAAAAACTGATCCAGATTCAGAGGACCAGGATGCTACTTTGAGGCCTGTCACCATTAGGCTACTTTTGATAAATTACTTCTGAGTTTTACCCTTATTATTCATATGTGCAGCCGCTAGAATAGCTGGAGATCAAAGTGAGGCATGTTTTCTGGCACATGTGTTTTAAATACTAACCACTTCACAAATGTTTGTTGCCATTGTTGTTTTTACTATTACTAAAGAATGTCTAGCATTTGATGTACTCTTCAGTACCATGAGGGATCATTGCTATAAACACCAGTTACTTTCCTGACTGTACCTATTGCTCCTCCCAGGGCTTTAGAGATCTATGTTATTAATAGGTCCACGGATTTTTGTTCTTATCTATAAGCTATATGTATAGTGTTTCTATCTCTACAATTCCAAGGTATCAGTTCTCACATCCTGCCATTGTTAGTGGTCCTTTCTCAATAAGTCAATCTTTCTGATTAATTATTTCTAATCTTTGGTGGCATCCAAAACACTAACTAGTTTGGATAGAGGTACAATTCAACAAAGTTAGTAAAAGTGTATTTATTTTGTTTGGAGAGGATTGCATGGAAAAGGGAAAATCTCCTAAGGGAATGAAGTGTGCAGGGTTTCATCTGTACATTTTATGATGTCTATTTTGGCAGTTCAGAGCTATTTTTCTTCCTTCCTGCTCTGTCCACCTGTGTGTGGACAGATAAAATTGCCAGGTGCTTGAGCTCTAGATTACTGAGGTATGATTAGCTACTTTTGGGCACCTGAAATATCTTGGAATATAAATATTACTGGATGGGTGGCTAAACACACGTCTGTGTACCTAGCTACACAGAGATATAGATATAGATATAAATTTTGGATATATTAAAAGCCATTACTCACTTCATCAAGCATGAGTTTATAACTATTTTATTACTCTTAGTGAGATTATTTTCTATTTCCTATAGTGCTTTCCAGAAAACATTTCACCATGGCTATTGTTTCTTTCTTGTACAGACACACTTTGTTGAGATTCCCCTAAGTATTTAAAGTCTATCTGAGATACATTGATCTGCTTCTTGCAACTGACTTACTGTTATTCTGAATAATGAACATTATCCATTATATTTTAACAAAGATAATGGATTAGCTTACTCACTCTTCTGAAATTGTCAAAATTCTCCAGAAATTTTCAATTTATTCTTCTAAAGAAATATACACAAGAGTATGTCTGGGGCAAAGTAACTAACCACGTTTTTAAATTCACTGTTTTCTGAACCACTGGACTATAGGAATTCTAAAAATAGTAGCCTTGGATCTATAGCTGTAAATGACTGAGATTATATAATTTACCCACTAGTCCTACCCCTATTTTTACTTAACTGTGTGATGTCAAGCAAAATATTTTATCACTTCTCAAGACTCTTGGAAAGTTTAATAAGGGGATACATATACAATATATAATATATACTATATACATGTATATGCAATATATAATACATACCATATACATATCATATATAGGTATATATCATATATTGTATATAGATGTATATATGTGCATATATAATATATGTATGCATATATGTATATGTATAAAGCCATTTTAAAACTATAATGGTTAAATATAAGGCAATATTAAGAATGAAATCAGATCAGGGAAAATGCCTACTCAACTAATCACATCAGACAAAGCATTAATAAAGATGTTTTTAAACATTACCACATAGAAAGCATGAAGATTTGATGTAGTGCCCAGAGTGAAAACAGCAGTGGTGAAGATCCCTGTGTTTTAACATACGGAAGTATTTGCCTGCGTCCCTAAAATGAGCTCTTTAGGTTATGCATTAATGGAATTCATCAGTCCTGCATCTTTGAAAACTCAAGTGAAAGACTAACTATTGCTTTAGGAGCACAAGGAAGATCCAGGAGAGCATAGTCAGTTTCCCCAGTGGTTACACTGAGTAGATGGGAGGCAAAGTCTGTAGAACTTTGAAAAGGAGTGCATTTGAGAGAAAATTAAAGGAATATACACTTACAATGGAAAGAACTGAAGACATACAAAGGTTATCTAATTGTTGTTAGGGCATGAATGAATTTTCTCAGTGGCCTTTAAAGGTTCAAAAGCTTGATCTGGCTAATAAGTTGAATAATCAAATCTACATAAGTATGTAATACTTAGTTTAAAAAATTAAGTATTATTTCAAAAACTTTTAAAGAAAGATTTATTCATTTGAAATGCAGAATAACAGAGCAATAGACATAGAGAGAAATATTCCATCCACTGACTCACTCCCCAAATAGCCACAATGATTGGGAATGGGCTAGGCTGAAGTTAGGAGTCAGGAACTCCATTTGGGTCTCCCACTTGGATTATAGGGATGCAAACACTTGGACCATTGTCCACTACTTTCCTAGGTGCATTAACCAGGACCTAGATTAGAAGCGAAGCATCCAGGATGTGAATCCGTGCTCTGACAATGAAATGCAGGCAATTTCAAGGGGTAGTTTAACACTCCTTGGCCACAGTACCAAACCCATTCCAAACTTCATGAAAAATCATTGAACATGCACGTGTTTGGCATTGCTCCCACTGATTCCCTGTCATCCTTTCCTTCACTTATCTATACAACTTGATGCAAATATTTCTGTATTCAGTTTAAATAAACAGAGTACACATCATTTCTTATACTGAACGACGTAATTAGTTTGAATTTATATCTTACAGGAATATTGACATTTTGGCAGTTAATTTACATCAGTAGATTAGTTAGGGGGTTAATATTCTTTCTCTATGGGAGTGTGTTTACAGGAATAAACTAGATAGTCTTTTGATAGAGTAAACACGCAAAATAGTTCTCTTACATCATGAAAAATAGTCAATATGCTCCTGATGAAAGATTTAAAGGGAAATACACATTGATTGGACTGTTAAAATACTAGTCTTTACAAAATTTGTATCAACATATATCAACTTTAGGATGTAAAAGTTTTATGCAGTGGTCAAGATGTTGCTTGAGATAACTGCATCCCATATTGATATGCTTAGTTTTGGGAACTAAGTTTGTTTACAGTTTTCTGCTAATGTGCACCTTAGAAAGTAGGAGGAGATGTCTCAAGCACTGGGTTCCTGCAGACAGCATGAGAGATATAGTTTGAAATGGTCACTTCAGTCTGGCTTAAACAGATGACAGAAGGGGTGTGTATGTGTGTGTGCACGCACACGTGCACATCAATTTTTCTTTGTACTTTTCAAAGAAATTTAATTTAAAAAGCTGAAAACCATACTTTTGTTCTGCATTTACCATAACAACTGTTAAGAATTAGGGGCCTATAAAAAGGTTCTTTCAATGAATACCTCCCATTAGAGTCATAGCATCTTGGCAGATTTTGGATTAGAAATAACTCATCTGAAGTATATTCTGCCTTTTGTGGTTTTTTTAAATATATTTTTGAAAGATTTATTTATTTTTATTGCAAAGTCAGATATACAGAGAGAAGAAGAGATAGAGAGGAAGATCTTTCATCCAATGATTCACTCCACAGGTGACCGTAATGGCCAAAGCTGAGCCAAACCAAAGCCAGGAGCCAAGGGCTTCCTCTTGGTCTCCCACATGGGTGCAGGGTCCCAAGGCTCTTGGCTGTCCTTTACTGCTTTCCCAGGCCACAAGCAGGAAGATGGACTGGAAGCAGGGCCACCGGGGCTAGAACCGGTGCCCATATGGAATCCCGGCACATGCAGGGCAAGGATTTTAGCTGCTAGACCACCGCGCTGGGCCCAGAAGTTTGGTAATATATGTTTTTAAGCTATACTTTAAATTTTTCAGAATTTTTTTCCTTTTGATATTACATTTGTTGTTATTAATAAATGGTAACTTCACCTTTCCTTAGTAGGGAAATGAAGGTGTGAAAGAGTAGGTGCAGAACAATGACAGTAGCTCATTGAATCAGTGACTTTTGTTTGTTTGCTTTTCCTCTGCTTCATCAATTCTTTCTTTTTTATTTCCGGCTATTCCAAAAAGGTGCTGATAAACTCAGAACTGTGTGAATTCCATCCAGGTTCTATTTTATAGCATCATCTTCTTAAGCTTCCTCTTAAGTAACAATAACCTGCTCCTGTCCTCAAGGCCACTACAATTCCCATCTTAGCTTACCATTCTGAATGGGTCTTTCTTTCTTACCTTCTCTGAGGCTTTGGTTCACTTGGTTGAAGCTTTCTACCAAGAATTCCGTTGAACTTCGGTAGGTTTTCTTCATTAAAGAAAGTCGCTGTCACATTCTAGGCTCCAAACATCTGTCATACCAAATAATAGGAAAGCAACTTTGACAGGAAGGATAAGACCAGAAGACCACCTGTAGTATAGAGCCATGATGAGAGTGGGTATACAAGGGGAGCTTAGCATAGGTCATTGAGCATTGGGGTGATAGGTGTAGGTTTATTACTTCAGTGCCTCAAAATGTGTTAAGTGCCTCCTTCAATTTACATACCTCAACACACCTTCTTTGGCATCCACTGACTGACAGATCAACTTAGAGTTCTTGGTCTGATATTTAGTGTAAATCCAGATTACTTTACCCATTCCCACCTCCATCTGTTTCTATAATCACCTTAGTTTTTACTGTCCCCCAGGAATCCC